TTAAGATTTCGATTTCCAATCAACTTTAAGTCACTTGCTGGAATATCATCATATATCAACATTCTATTGTTTAATTTCAGCAAAGTTATCGGTTTCGTCGTCATCAACAGAAGAAGAAAACGAGGACATGGCAGGCGAGGATTTGATTGCCCAATTCCAGACGCTCGGCATGAGCGAGCAAAAGGCCAAAGAGACGCTCAAGAATGCCAACGTGACAAAAAACCTGCAATTGGCTCTGGCCCAGGCGGCCGGCGCTTCACTCGCCGACGGAACGGGTATGCTGATCTACCACATGGCCAGCAAACTGAAGCCGCAACAGGCTGAGCAGTTGCCTCTGCTGGTGCGCTACATAATTGAGCGCAAGCTTGACAATACCCAGCGAGTGGATGCCGCCCTGGAGTATGTTCTCAAGTGCGGGCAGAAACTGAAGGCCAACATCGATGTGAAGGAGCTGGAACAAGAGTGCGGTGTGGGTGTAGTGGTCACGCCGGAGGAGATCGAACGCATTGTCCAGTCCAAGATCAAAAGCAGCTACAAGGAAGCTCTGCTGGAGCAGCGCTACCATTTCAATTCCTTCAAAATTCTGCAGGATGTGAGGAGCGAACTCAAGTGGGCGGATGCAAAGTCTGTGAAGGCAGCCATAGACGTGGAGATATTCGATCTGCTGGGACCCAAGACGGAGGTGGACTTGAAGCCACCTGTTAAGCAGAACGAGAAACCCAAGGCGGCCAAAGCCAAGCCAGAGGCGAATCAAACTGCACAAGCTGTGGAGGCTGCATCCGATGGAGCCAACACCATTGCGGAGCTAATGAAAACGAAGGTTCACTTCCATGCTCCCGGCGAGAACTTCAAGACTGATGGCTACGTCGTGACCGAGCATACCGAGAGATTATTGAAGGAGCATCTCCAGAAGACTGGGGGACGTGTCCACACGAGATTTCCGCCCGAACCCAATGGCATTCTGCACATTGGTCACGCGAAGGCCATTAACATCAATTTCGGCTATGCTGCTGCCCATGATGGCATCTGCTATCTGCGCTACGATGACACCAATCCCGAGAAGGAGGAGGAAAAGTTCTTTGTGGGCATCCGGGACATGGTGGAGTGGCTGGGATACAAGCCCGTCAAGATAACCTACTCCTCCGACAACTTCCAGCAGCTGTACGAGTGGGCTGTGGTCCTCATACGCAATGGATTGGCCTATGTCTGCCACCAAAAGGCGGAGGAGCTGAAGGGCTTCACTCCCAAGCCCAGCCCCTGGCGTGAGCGTCCCATCGAGGAGTCGCTACAACTGTTCGAGGACATGAAGAGGGGCAAAATCGACGAGGGATTGGCCACGCTGCGCCTGAAGGTCACTCTGGAAGAGGGAAAAGTTGATCCGGTGGCGTATCGCATCAAGTTCATTGCACATCATCGCACAGGCGGCAAGTGGTGCATTTACCCCACGTACGACTACACGCACTGCCTGTGTGACTCCATCGAACAGATCACCCACTCGCTGTGCACCAAGGAGTTCCAGTCGCGTCGCTCCTCCTACTACTGGCTGTGCAATGCCCTGGAGATCTACTGTCCCGTGCAGTGGGAATACGGCAGACTGAACATGAACTATGCCTTGGTCTCCAAGCGAAAGATTGGCAAACTGATTGCCGAGAAGATTGTCTACGATTGGGACGATCCCAGGCTCTTCACCCTGACGGCACTGCGGCGTAGGGGCTTCCCAGCGGAGGCCATCAACAATTTTTGCGCACAGATGGGTGTGACAGGTGCTCAGATCGCCGTGGATCCAGCCATGTTGGAAGCCTCTGTGCGCGATGTACTGAATGTGACGGCACCGCGTCGTCTGGTTGTGCTGGAACCCCTCAAGGTGACCCTCAAGAACTTCCCGCATGCAGCGCCAGTGCAGCTGGAGGTGCCTAATTTCCCACAAAATCCAGAGAAGGGTTCACACAAGATCACCCTCGACAAGGTGATCTACATAGAGCGAGGCGACTTCAAAGTGGAACCCGAGAAGGGCTACCGCCGCCTGTCGCCCCAGCAATCAGTGGGCCTTCGTCACGCCGGCCTGGTGATCAGCGTGGAGGAGGTTGTCAAGCATCCAGCTACCGGAGAAGTTGTCGAACTGATTTGCTCCAGCCAGTCTGCGGAGCAGGCCGAGAAACCCAAGGCCTTTGTCCAATGGGTATCCCAGCCCATACCGCTGGAGGTACGTCTGTACGAGCAACTGTTCAAGCACAAGAATCCCGAGGATACCAACGAGGTGCCCGGCGGCTTCCTAACCGACATCTGCGAGCACACTATCTCCGTGCTCCAGGCCTTTGCGGATCAGGCCCTGGCCCAGGTCAAGGTCTATGACAAGTTCCAATTCGAGCGAATTGGCTTCTTTTCCGTGGATCCGGACACCTCAAACAATAGAATTGTCTTCAACCGCACTGTGGGCCTCAAAGAGGATGCGGGCAAAAAGTAATCCTCATTTTCACAGAAGCAAAGAACAGTTTTGTGCATCTTTTGATTAAAATTTGATTTATAAAATCTGTAAATTCCGCAATTTTTGTTATTTCTTTCCCTCAACCATTATGATGTGATAGCCGAACTTCGTCTTGACCGGAGGATCTGTGTAGATGGGATTGTTGACATTCGATATGGGCAGGGCGAAGGCGGCGTCTTGGAATGGACCCACCATCGCACCGCGTATCTGCCAACCCAGATCACCGCCCTGACGTGCCTTGTCCTCGCTGTAAGCGGTGGCCACTTCGGGAAACTTTTGGCCAGCCTTTAGCTTCTCCATGGCCTCCATAATCTTGCCCTGTTTCTCGCACAGAATGTGGCGCACCTTGACGGCATTGCCTCCCTTCTTCTCCTTGCCGGTAGCTACAGCGTGGTAGGAGAAGATTCTATTGATTCTGTTGCGAATTTCTTTTAAAATCCTACTCACACTTATCTTCTGCGGCTGGCTTCTTTCCCCCTTTGCCGGCGTCCTTGCCCCCCTTCGCGTCCTTCTTTGGTGGCATGTTTTTATAACAAACTTGGTGTTATTATCGAAATAAACAATAAATTCGTGTTGGGGCTAAAAGCCTGTTCCGTAAGGCGATATTTTCACCGTATTTGTGGTATTTTTGGTCTGCTGCTGGCACGGTCGCTTTCAAACCGATAACCACAACAACAAAATTATCTCAATTTGTTTTTGGGCGGATAAAAATCAAGAATAATAATCATGGAATTTAGTTGGGATGTTATTGCCTGCCTGGGTCTTGCGGTGCTCGTTCACGTTCTTGTCTACATATTTGTCATGCAAAAGCGAGCCAAGAGCATCGATGGACGCCATGTCGTGGTCACCGGCGGTTCGAGCGGCATTGGAATCAGCCTGGCCATAGAATGCGTCACGAAGGGAGCCCATGTAACGATAATAGCGCGTGACGAGAAAAAGCTTAGTAAGTAAAAACAAAAATAATGGAGAAACCCACCCCAACAACATACCCTTTACTCCCTTCACAGAGGCGGCTGTAGACCGTATGGAGCTTGTGCGCCAGCGACCGGATCAAAAGTTGCAATACCGCAGCTTGGATATTGGCGGAGACTATGAGGAGGTGGCTCGTGTGCTGGCCGAGACGGAGGTAACCGTAGGCCCCATTTACGCCCTGCTTAATTGCGCAGGCATGGCCATTTGTGGTGTCTTCGAGAATGTTTCTGTGCGGGATGTCCACAAGCTGATGAATGTGAACTTCTTTGGCAGCTACAACTGCACCCGCCATGTGCTGTCCAAGATGAAGCGGGCAAGGGAGGGCATCATTGTGTTTACTTCCTCGCAGGCTGCTATGTTCGGCATCTATGGCTATGGACCGTATGCAGCCAGTAAATATGCGCTGCGAGCCATGGCCGAAACGATCGCCATGGAGTCCCGGGAGCACGGCGTCAGTGTCACCTTGGCCTTGCCCTGTGACACAAACACCCCAGGATTCGAGGAGGAGGAGAAGTCCAAGCCACGCGAAACAAAGATCATCTCGGGCGGTGGAGGCCTGCTGAAGCCAGAAGACATGGCCAAAGCCATTCTCCAGGATGCCTTGGTGAGGCATTGTCCTTACTCTTTTCCATTCTTATATTTTACTTGAATTTTTCCATTGCAGAAGGGTAACTTTGTCTCAATTGTGGGCGCAGAGAGCTGGCTAATCACCATGCTGGGCGGTGGCCTGCTGCCCTGGGACGGATTCTTTACAAATCTCCTGCACGCCTTGGTCATAGGTCCATTGCGATTGTTCGCCTATGGCCTGCACAAGTACTTCAACAGCATCATACGCAAATGTGCGAAAGAGGATCGTTCTGGGGACAAAGTGGAAGCGAAATGAATCGATCTCTCTACGGCCTTGCACACTTATTGTTGTATTTGTAGCGTTGCATGCGGCATGTTTCGGCAATTGCAATTCCAAATATCGCCTGACATCAGCCACTTTTAATGTCATGTAATCGAATCGTTCCACAAACTATATTTTCTTGCATGTATGTGTCTAGTCTTGTAATAATTATAATAAAACAAAATGTTTCATTCAACTGATAAATGTTACATGTTAAGAAATGTTTTAGTTAAGAACAGGCAAACGAAATCCAACAGTCACCATGGCTTGCCGGTAATTCTTGATTAGATAAACCCAATTGGCGGCACACACTTTGTCCCGCCACAACGATAAGTTCAAAGTAGGTCAAAATACATATTCGAGTTTAGTTTTTTTTACTTTTGTCTTCCTTTATTCATAAGACGCACCCCAGTTTACACTCTTCCGTTTAGTTCCATTTTTCATTCCGCCTTTTAACATTTTGTATATAGTTAACGCTAAACAAAAATTGTTTGTATAATTATAATGCAAATTATATAAATACATATATATATATTTATATATGTACATATATGCAGGTAAACATAAATTGTTATAGCATCTAAGCATCAATTAATCAAAGAATTATTATTGGATTTCCATGGGTAAATTCTACTTTTTGGATAGAAGCAGAAATTGTTGGGTTTAAATTATGCTTTAAATTATAGTAATTACCCGGGGGGATTGGGGTATTGCATTGTTACCAAATAATGTATACAATAAACAAAGCCTTTTATGTTGCACAAGACGCCGTGCGACAACTCAATAGTAAAGAAGTAAAATGCTACGCAAACCAAAAGAAAACAATTATTTTCACGATTACAAGCCGAATGCTAAACTTAATTTTGGATTTTCGATTGTGGATTGCTTTTGGGTTGGTGTGTGTGTATGTGTGTTGGTAGCTTTCTCTAGTAGTCCTCAATTGCAATGATTTGCGGTGGTTTAATGGACACTCCTCCCACTGTTGGCGACCCCACATCCTTGGTCGCTGCGTTGTCGCTAGTTGATGGTGTTGTTGTTGCTGGGGCAGCAGCAGCATTTGGTGTTGCAAGCACCTCGCCCGCTGCTGCTGTCCGTGTCTCCGGCGTCTGTGCGGCTAATTGTCACTTTGAGTTGCCCGCCACTGAGTTGGGGCCCGCCAGGTCGTTCACTCTCTGATATCGTGGCTTGTTGCGTGTGAAGGGCAAGTACTTGAACTTGATCATATGCTTGATCTGTCGCTTCATCGTGATGCAGAACAGCGTGATAAAGTACATGACCAGTATGGGCCAAAAGACGGGTACGTTGAAGAAGTCGAAGAAGGTGCAGAAGAGACCAATGCCCGTGCTCTTTGTCACCGACAGCCAGAACTTGAATTCCGGCAGGCGGCGTATGAAGGGCCGGAATTCCTCATTGCTGCGCGTCGGCAGATTCGGCCCATCGTCTTCGTCGTCCTGTGCATACGGATCGAATTCTGGATCGATTTTTGGCGTTAGAAATGCGATAAACAGATTCAGATGATAGATGCCCAGCGCGTAGCAGATGATGTACCATCCTTGGTATATGAAAATGCGCAACACGAAGAGCAGGAGGACAAAGCCAGCGAACACCCAACGCAGTCGCGTGTGCGGCGTCGAGCGATCAAGTGTTGACTGATAAGTCTGCAAAGAGGTCATATATGTTTATGGTTTGTCGATTTCGATTGCCTTGGTCATTACTCACCTGTGAAAGGCGTTGAAACACCTTCTTGATGCCACCGCCGCCGCCTGATGACGACGACATCGGGGCACTACTGTCTTCATTCATCATTGTCGCCACAGCAACCGCTCTACTCCCTCACCATTAATTGGTGCGGTCGTGGTCGTGTGTCTGTGTGTCTTCCACGTTCTTGTTTACTTTGACGTACAGCTTTGGAGCGGACTGCGATGCTGCACTATCGATTTGGCTTGGAGTGGTGGACAGAGGTGGAGGCTAACTAAACACAAAATAGGCAACACGGCGCGTTCTAAGTCACTAATTATTTCATTGCCGAGACGTTTCGTTCCGTTCCTCTTCTGCCACCGTCGTCTTCTTGCTCTTCTTCTTGTTCTCTCTCCTAGTATGAGTTTTTGCGCTTGTCGGTTGTGTGGATAGAACTGTGTTCCCTTCTCAAAGCCTGCTTGCTGTTATTTAATAGTTCTTACTATATCGCAACTGTTATTCCATTACAGTTTTATTCCTAATTTGATTACACTACTGTGTGTGTCGGCAATTTATTGTTCTTTTTTTTCACATCCACGTCATTATAGGGTATATCGATACGTCAATATATCGATATTTGTTCTATGTCGGATATTTTCTAGATGATACTCTTTTGCGATAAGCGAAAATATTCTTCCTTTTATTTTGAAAATGCCAAATGCATTCATCTTTAAAAACATTATTCTGCTCTGGCTGTAAAGATTGAGCTCGTTGAAGCGGTCTGCGATCTGGACAATCAGTTTGCAGATGTGTTTTGCCCTCGAAGATCGCCTTTCTTCGCATGAGCACTCGCAGTTGGCCAGTCTGCTTGTGGCGTAGGATCTTCACATTGCCCACTGTAGCAGTCACAACGCAACGCGTGCGCGGCAGGTGCCAGTCACGTTGTTCGCCGACATTTCAGTAAAAAACAATATAAACATCTTTAATTTGCGAAGAGGCCGGAAATGGAGCTTCTGTGTCGAATTTGTGGGGAGCCAGCCGTAAATCCGAGAAGACTCTTCGACGAGAATGGAGCCGATGTATTGAACGACATCCTCAAACTGACGGGCATCTGGGTAGGATGGAAAATAAATGTACACACGCCACGCTAAACCGAGTATGATTTCAGCTTACTAAGAGAGTAGGATTCCCCTCACATATATGCTCTTCCTGCCTGCAAAACTCAAACGAAGCCATGGCATTCAGGGAACTTTGTATAAGAACCAACAACCTTTGGTACGAAACACTCGATGCAGCCGACACCAAACCGGCAGACGACGAAGTGCATTTGGAGCCCATAATTGAAGACGATGAAGCGGCGGAGCCTGAGGAGAACAATGAATATATCACACTGGAAATCGAAACTCTGTGTGAGGAACTAAAGTCTGCAAGTCCTTCGAGCCTTCATGGAGAACCGGTCTCATTGTCTGCTTCGTCGCGTTGTCACAGTAATCTATCCAATATGCGCAGAAAAGCTGATGATGGAGACTATGATGATGAGCACTTGGATTTTGATCCCATGATAAATGAGGATTCTTTGCTTGACCCTGAAGAGGAGGAAGATGAGGAAGACAAAGTGATAGAAAAAAATTTGTCAGGGCTTAAGTCACGATTAGATTCATGTTCTGTACCTAAGAAAGGAGTGCGCCGTGCTTCCAAGAAATCAAGTGTAGTTCCAGGGGATATATCAAAGAAGAAGCGTTATAGACGATCCATTGGTGGCTTTTACTGTGACCAATGCGGCAAATGGTTCAAAGATAAAAGCAACCTCAATGTCCATTTGACGCGACACACGGGCGTGAAGCAGTTTGAATGCAAGGAGTGTGGTCGGAAGGAGTTTACCATGCACCTTTTGAGCCTACACATCCGCGTAAAACACAAAGGGGAGCTGCCATACTCGTGCAAGTACTGTGGACAGCGCTTTGACAACTGCATAAAACGTTTGAGACATGAAAGGTGGGTAATTTAATAGGGTTTAGTGAGTCTCAGACCAAGCAAAGACTTCATTCTCCTCAGGCAGCATAAGGAGAGCCCCGATATTCGCCCTCACGTCTGTCCTGTTTGCGGAAAAGCCTTCCAACTGAAGAGGGCCTTAAGGATGCACGAGATTGTACACACGGGTGAACAACCATTCCAGTAAGTTGCATTTCGCTTCTATATACCGAGTATATCTGTACATGCTTAGTTTATTCACAGCTGCGAGACCTGCAACGTTTACTTTAATCGCAAATCCAGCTTACAAACCCACAACCGATCGAAGCTGCACACCAAAAAAGTTGGTCTGGATCAGAGCAAAAAACTGCTGGACGAAGATGCGGATACGTAACGGCAAAAAGCAGTCAATAAATTACCATAAATATAGGTTGTTGGTTTCATTTTTTTATTTTTTTTTTTTACCGCTCTACGCTTGGGTAGAGGGGATTATTTGGCCGCCCGCCGGCCACGTCGAGCTTTGTAACTTTTTACAGTTTTGCTCCAATACTTGGGTTTCATTTTTAAAATTGAAGTTGATACGCGCATAAAAAAACAATTATCATCAGAAAGCCCTGGTATCGATATATATATATATGTATCGATAAAAGGCTTGTTCTTTGAACATAGTCTTATAACTGTTCTTCTTGCAAAAATCCAAAGCGCTGCCAGAGACAATTTTGACCATATGTTTTCCTGTTACGGAAAATGGAAAAAAAGAATGTATCCGTCAAAATCTAATGGAGCTACATCAACACATGCTGAAATGGGTAAATGCCGCATTTGCTATCGGGACTTGCTGGCTGTAGAGGATGCCAAAGATCTCTACGATCAGAGGAACAATTCTTTGTTGTACCACATAGAGGCAATAACTGGAGTCTGGGTTCGTATACAACTGATAAAACCAAGCGGATAGAACTAACTAATGTCAAACAGATAAGCGGACTGGAGGGCGCGCCTCAGCATATGTGCCCACAATGCGAGAAAAGCTTGCAGAAAGCCATTGAGTTTCGAGGAATGTGCATAAAAACTGCATTCATTCTCACCCGAGCCAGCAAAGGACTCACAGAGTGTGATTTCGGGAATACCAATGTAGAATCTGACGAAATCAAAACCGAATTGGAGAATGTTCTATACGAAGGCCTTTCAGAGTCGGAGCTAATAGAAGATATTGGACCAGTAGGCGATGGTCCATGCCCCAGCAAAACCCAAGTTGCTGCACTTCACTCAGAACAAATAATCCAAACCTCAAAAAAAAAACGTTCAAAAATGACCAAAGAACAGAAGAATCTTAAGCGTCGCGAACGATTGCGATCCAAGCCCCTAAGCTATGTCTGCGAACAGTGTGGACACGCTTTTCGTATGTCTTGCCATCTACAGATTCACAAGCTTCGTCACAGTCGCGTCAAGAACTTTGAGTGCCCGGAATGCTTGAAGAAATTCTACACCTCGCACTTGCGGGACAGTCACCTACGCGTTCGTCACCACGGGGAGCGCCCGTACCCATGTAAATACTGCAGCGAAACGTTTTCCTACTGCAATGTGCGTCAGAGGCATGAACGGCAAGTAGAAACGGAATGAAACTTGCATATATATTGTGTCCCTAACCCACTTAAACTCCGCAGGGAGATTCATGGAGCGCCTCCTCGCATTGTCATGAGTCGCAACAGCAGCATCAGCAGCAAAAATCAAAAGGCTCAAGCGGACAATTGTAAGCGTCACTTTTGCCATTTATGCACTAAAAGTTATGCGTCAAAGTATTCGCTCAGTTGGCACATGAACTCGCACACTGGGGTCAGGAACCTCAAGTGCAAGTCGTGCGACATGATGTTCCCCGATCCCGTTTCGGTGAGGCGGCACGAACGGTACCATGAGCAGCGGCCTTTGCAATGCGATGTCTGTCTGAAGGGCTTTTTCGTACTCAGCAAGCTCAATGCGCACAAACTCATACACACTGGTGATCGTCCATTTAGGTAAGACAACACATTCCCCTAGCTATGTCTATGCTTGTCACATTTATGCTTCCTTTTTCAGGTGTGAAATATGTGATGTGTATTTCCGATACAAATATAATCTAACGTCACACAGGCGCAGTAATATGCATAAGTCGAATTTGCTGAAGATTCAGGAGGAGGAAGACTCAGCGCCTCCAATGAAAATAATGAAATAAAAGAAGAACTCAACACATTTTCCGACTATTTAAATCTTAGAAATGCCGCTCACCTGTCGATATTTGTTCTGCACAACAGTCGATTCGCGGCTAGCGATAGTCGCGTTTTTGCACATCACTAGAGCCAACATCCAAAACAAATTTTGTTGTTTTTATACCCAAATCTTCATCTGCATAGGCTATTTGGCAACAATGAATGCAAATGCATCGGATGTAGGGAAACTGAAATGCAGAACATGCCTGGGAGAGTGCGAAGAGTGTACAATGACTTCTCTGTTTGAAGTGGACGAGATGGACGGCGTGGGGGAAGATCTCAGCGACAAGTTTCAGCACTGTTGTGGAATTAAGGTAGGCTAACCAGCAAGAGCAAATTATCAGTATAAATATGTGCTTCTGCAATTTTTACAGGTACGCAGCTCTCCTCGACTACCAGGAAAGGTGTGCAGCAAGTGTCGTGACTTCGTACAGATGTGGTTCAGCTTTCGCCAAATGGTTCTCAATTCCCAAGTTTATTTGGAGACTTGCTCGTCGGATGGGGAGCAGACAGAGGAGTTCAAGCAAGCCAACAAAAGCGAGTTTATAGACTATATGTACCAGGACCTTCAAGAAAATTGTGGCCTTGAAATTGAGTACCCGGATGACAGCCCCCAGGAGGAAATTGAGGACATAACTGCCCAGTATCAAGAGATTCTCGACGGTGTTAACTATGTCACTGACACTGGGGAGCTGGTCAACAATGAGCAAGAAACGGGTGCCGATGACCAAGCCAAGGCTCTGACTCCTGAACAGTTGGTTGTAAATGTTCAGCCATTTGAAGCTGATGAAACCATCGAGACCGAATTAGTTGAGGAGTCTTTCATGGTGAAGGAGGATTACTGCGATGAGGATGATTTTGCGGAGAGTAACACAGAGTTCCTGTCGCCCACACCATCGCCAGAACCGAATCCCAGCAATGAGAGCAAACGCGGGCCAGGCAGGCCCCGCAAGCCAGACAATGAACTGAAATGCAAGCGCAAGATCAAAACTCCTGGAAAACCCGCAACAGAGCTTAAACGCGCATCCTCGAATTTCATGTGCAATATGTGTGGCAATGTCTATACAAAGAAGTCCTCGTTTACCTCACACATGATGACCCACGTGGACTACAAGCCCCACCAGTGCGAGTAAGCAAAGAAAGCTCTGCCTTTGCCATGCCATTTTATTAGCGACTTTCTCTTTGTAGAATCTGTGACAAAGCCTTCCGTCAGATGGGAGAGCTGCGTGCCCACATTCGTCGCCACACGGGCGAGCGTCCCTACAAGTGTATGTATTGCGAGCGACACTTTTACGACCGCAGCGAAAGGGTGCGCCACGAGCGAGTCCACACCAACACGCGCCCATACGAGTGCAAAGAGTGCGGCAAGGCCTTTACACACACAGCCATCCTCAAGAATCACAGTCTGGTGCATTCCGGCGAAAAGAACTACAAGTAACCGCAGCATGGAGTGACTTAAAGTCTAGTTTTAAACATGATTCTCTTTGCTTTTAGTTGCGCCGTATGCTCCAAGTCATTCACTCTGATGCATCAGCTAAAGGCACACCAACAGACGATAGTCCACAGAACCATGGTAGAGCAGGCCATGGAAAATTCCACGGTCTACACATAGCATTAGACATTTCTTAAGCTAGATTAATGCAATATATAAGCTAGAGTAATAGGAGTGGATAATCTTTATTTGATTTCTGGCTATGACTCGACTTCCATCGTCATATGTGCGTGGGTCTTCATATGAGCTTTCAACTGATGCGGCAAGCGGAACTTTTTGTTACACTTCAAGCACCCGTGAGCCTTTTCCTTCGAGTGCGTTAGAATGTGTGCCTTGCGGGTGGAGGATAGTGAAAAGGTTTTCAGGCAAATGTGGCAGGCATATGGTCGCTCGTTAGTGTGCATACTGAAGGAAAGAAAATCACAAGCGTAAGATATACATTTACGTGGGAGTCTGTGGAAAGCGCAACTCACCGTTCGTGCTTGCGATGAGTGCTGCGATCGGTAAAGCAACGCGAGCAATGATTGCATTTATAAGGCTTCTCCCCCGTGTGGGTTCTGATGTGAGTGCTCAGGTTGCAGCTGGTAGTGAAGCGTTTCAGGCAAACTCTAAAATACATTTTTGCTTATTTTGTGGAATATCTGTGATCTCATCTGGCGGAGACTTACTCGCATTGATAGGCCTTCTCGTTCAGATGGGTGCGTAGGTGGTCAGCCAGCTTCGATGCGTTGGGGTAGGTGTTGCTGCAGACAATGCACCTGTGCCTTTCTGGAACACAGGCCACGCCGAGATCTATTTTATACTCGGTGCAAGGTTGCCGTGACTCTGAGGCGAAGTTATCCAGTGCCACCTCGTTCTCAACGAGATAGCCCTCATATGAGCCAACGCTTATGCACATTGCTAGGTCCGCATTGGCCTGGTTGTTTGTTTGGTATTCCGCGCGGTCTGCTTTGCTCAAATAGCCCGACTTTTCGTCCTGTGCAGTGGGTGCAGGCTGCACTGTGGGTGCCGCGACTTCCAATAATTTTTCGTCCAGACTTGTTTCATCCGTATGAATACTGTCTTCCCCAAATTCAATTTCGGGATTCTTGTCGTGTCTTTGTAAAATGGTTTGTTTCCTCGCACGTACTCGGTTTTCCACGACGGTCATTGTAAAATCAGGAATTGTTTGACGCACGAGACTCTTAAGCTGCTCATCGGCCTGCTGGCATGTGGTGACAAAATTGTGCACTCCATCCAACATTTGAAGGCAAGTGTTGCATATTGTATCAGGCAAGCCATCGTCCAGAACCACCTTAAAACACACATGACATAAAAGACAAACATACGGACATAAATGCTGATTATTTTAGCGTCGCTAACTCACATTGATGCCGGCATACTTGCACAAAAGATTGGGCGCTTCAGAACCGAAGAGCGGTTGCAGTTCTGTGGTGTCCTCACTTTTGCAAGTTCTACACATGCTCCACTTGATGAGGACCTCCATTATTGTTATTGTTTTGCCTGGCAAAATGCCGATTTATCCGATTCAAATGCTACTCCAGATTTCGTACTTTAGTGTGACTGTACGACGCTGCAGTTAACCCTTTAAGAGCCACTGGGTTTTTAAATGCAAATGAAAATTATGAAACATAAAAATAAATATAATAACTGTAAGCCACTAGGAATATTAATTATCTAAAAGAGAATAATATCTTCATATTGTGTGTGCATAAATAATTGTATGTTTGTAAAGTTTGTAAAGTTTGTAAAGGCCTCTCATGGGTTAATGCTTTTTACGCAGTGTGCCCATATGTAGGGAAAGCAGTGAAAAAGTATAGGACTAGACGCTTGTTTATTTTATTTTATTGCAAAACAGTCTTGGAAGTCTTTAAACATGCCCGAGTACATGCTTTGTAGGATCTGTTTAACAGAAGATCTAAGCTTAGACGGCATGACGCCACTATTCGACGATCAGAACGTGGAGTGTACAGAGCTGGTGAAGAAAATTGAAGAAGTCGGCAGCATCAAGGTACATGTGTGCTGCACTAACAGGAGGCTCCGAGACAAGCCCCCAAGTTGAGGGCAACTAATTTCTATATATTTTCAGCTAGCCCCACTTCAAGACATGGTGAGCATGCTGTGCTTTAACTGCGTGGACACCCTCTCGATTGCGCACAAATTCCGGGAACTGTGCCAGGCGAGCGAGCGAGCCTTTTCCGATAATATTGTCAAGGTAAGTACACCTGCATTGCCCGAGTCACATTGAGTTTTTGGTTGCTTTAAGGCGGAGATGAAGTGCGAACCCACTGAGGATCCCTCGAGCCTAGAGGAGCATAACATTGAGTATATTTACGAGGCTGCCAGCGAATTCATTGATGCCGATGGCGATATTGAACTAGACACTATGCTGGAAGAGCGTTTGGAGGATGGAATTACAGAAGCTGACGCGACATTCGGCGACATAGGAGTGGTGGAAGAGATAGATGAGAATGACCTGCTGATAGAAAACGGCAGCGATAGTGACTACGAACCAAGTGAACGTTACCGCAAGCCAAAGATTCGCAAAACGCGGCTCGCCAAACGCGGTCGTGGCAGACCACGGAACTCCACCCTGGAGAATGGTCAGGAAAAGGCGCCTGGCATGTGCAGGTCCAGTGAAGAGCCCACAAATATCATGTGCGAAATATGTGGCAACATCTACTCCAAGAGAGCAGCACTCAACATTCACATGCGCCGTCATCTGGCTGAGAAGCCGTTCGAATGCGAGTGCGTATCAAACAAGCAAAAACTAATTTATTCTTAAACTGATTGATTGTCCGTTTACTAAAGGATTTGCGGTAAAACGTTTGCGGGTCCCTCGGAGCTTAATCGTCATATACGAGTACACACTGGCGAGAAACCGTTCACGTGTAAATACTGCTCCAGATCGTTTGCGGATCGAAGCTCCAACATACGGCATGAAAGGTGAGAGAGACTCTAGCTTGATTTTAGTACTGCATTTGTATACCCTTGCCTACCCTTGCAGAACTCATACAAATGAACGGCCCTTTGCCTGCTCAACTTGTGGCAAGTCCTTCTCGTACTCTAATGTCCTGAAGAATCACATGTTAACTCACACGGGGGAGAAGCCCTTTTTGTATGTACTTTTACTTTAGCCAGCGACAATGCAGGTGTGCGAGAACGGAAAGTAATTTCCAACTTCCATTTCAGGTGTCTGCCCTGCAACAAAACATTTTCTCGTAAGCACCAGCTGGAGCAGCACATCGGCACGATGACCCACCAGCAAACCATGAGAGCGCATCAGACAAACGAGACCTTACGGGGGGCTTCGGAATTATACTAGTTTGTTAAAGATCTAATTAAATGAACATATGATGACTGTAAATAAAAGTTATAAAATAAAAAAATAATTGTGTATTAAATACATACATGTTCCCGTTGCTACATGGCAACTACATACACAAACTCTGTGCACACTGTCGATCATAATCGATAACGATTACAGCCAGAATATTAAACGTATGCATGTGTATGTCCTAGTTTGCGCCCAAGTTTGTATTCTCCTGTTGGTCTCCTTAGTGTGTGACTCCATAAAACAGCAAAATGCCGCTCCCGTGTCGAACTTGTTTGGGTGCCACTTGTAGTAATACAAGCCACAAATATATTCAAAAAGGAGAACTCAAAAATTTTGTTGAACCTCCAAGCGGTTTGCGGGATGTCGGTAAATTCGTTCATCACCTAAAGAAAAAATGATTACATCCTAATCCTTATTGGAAACTACCAAACTGGAACTCTACGCAATAGACAGCAAGCCTAAGCCCATGCAAAGAAGGAGATATACGGTGCTCATTTGATGCCCGATCAATAAGCAAAAGGGACCCGAATGCTCGAGCAGTACTTTGTTACCAGCAAGCTGTGAAACTTCTCCAAGCTATTCGTATATTATGCTACTAATAAATACTTAACTAGCTTATACAGAATGTCAATAAAAAAGAATGGAGAATGATCTCTAGGAAATGCTTGTGTCAGCTTCATGGACGACGACTGTCGAAGACTGTTGTACCACCTCCAGTGCCTTTTCCAAGTGGGTGGAGGTAGTTAAATGATTTTGCAAGTGGGCAATGCGCATAAAGCGCTTGTTGCAAATGCCACAGCTGTAGATGTAAGTTGAACAATAAACGATTTGCGCTTGAATGTTTCACTGCAGCACTTACTGATGCTTGCGCTCGTCTACGGAGGCGTGTGTCAGCGTGTGCTTCCTTAGGCAGCCAGAGCTAACGAAACTCTTTCCGCAGGTTTTACACTCGAAGCGCTTTTCGTTCCGGTGGCGTCTGTGATGCTCCTCGCGGGAGCTTGCATCGGAAAATCGACGCGAGCAGTAGATGCAGACGAAGGGCTTTTCTCCCGTGTGGCATCGATTGTGGCGCACCAACTCCTTGCGAGTGGCGAAACGTTTGCCGCAATCACTAATCAGGATAGAATCGCATCTGATTAGCAGGTGGCATATGCATTTGGAAGATTCTCTTTTACCTGAACTCACACGCAAAGTTCTTGACACCTGTGTGCCGCAGCTTGTGCTCTTGAAAGTTGCTCCAGCTATTTATAGACTTTCCACAGTCATCGCATATGTAGGGCTCTGCATATTTTCCTCTGCGCTTTGTGTTCGCCTGCTCTACGTTCTGAGTGCATATTTCTGATTCATATTCCAAAGCATAGTCATCAGTGTTCTCCTCATCGGTGTTCAGCCCATAAGACTCTATTTCAGAGTCGGTATCGGTATCCTCCTCCTCTATGCTGCCCGTGGAGTTCGCTTTCTCCAGATTACGCTTCTCTGAGATGATGCAGCGCTGCCGGAACTTTATGGCGCAGTCCAAGTCGAAAACACACTTGTCGCACATATAGCTGGATATTCCTTCTTTTTCATTTAGCTACGAATGTTTATAGAATCACGTAAATAAAAGCTGCGTGTAATTTATTTTATTTTATGTGTAACATTACCCCGACCCCAGTTATGGAGAGAATTTGGCGGATGAAATGGCCGTTCTTCGAGCAGAACAGGTATATCGTAGCCTCAGCACCAGAGCAAATCCGACATATCTTCTTCCGCATTTTCCGAACGTTGTTTTAATTGGTTTTTGTTCGTTTATTGTTTACAGTGCAGTGCGGAAATATCTCATATCGTTATCGATAACCGACCACGAACAGCTGTTGTATGCGCATTTTATTTTGTTTGCATTTGAATAAATATAGAAAATGTGCATTTAAATTTTAAAATGACGCTACAATGCCGAGTCTGCGGGGGCGTCATCTACAATGCAAAGGCTAAAAATCTATTCCAGAAGGAGAACTCTAAGCTGCTAATGAACATCGAGTTGGTGGTCGGCATTTTGGTGAGTTCCATCAAGCAAATCAAGGAAATGTCGCCAAACCCCTCCTAAGTTTTTACTTTAAATTGCAGCTCTTTGATGATCCAGAGCTGCCGAGATGCATATGTGCTTGTTGTTTGCACGACTTGAATCAGGCAATCGTGTTCCGAAATCACTGCATCCAGACTCAGAAGAACCTGTTGGAGAAACAACGTCGCAGCAGGACTCCTGTAGAGGACTATGATGAGGACACAGAAATTAAGCATGAGATTGAAATGGATACTGAGCTGGCGGCCATGTCGGCTGGTGATATGGACGATGCCTATGAAAATGTAGAAGAGCTGTTAGACCCAGAAGAGGACGACGACGATCCACAGAGCCAAAATAGTGATGAGGCGGAGGATACTGCGCAGGATGCAGACTCTCTGATAACGAGTCTAAAGAAAGAGCTGGGTAGCATTTATGATAGCAGCGATGACGATGACGGTGACGAGTTACCGGAATTGTCCGACTCAAGCAACTCAGACGGCGGATACTCTCCCACCGAAGAGTTGTCACCAGTGTCGATTACCCAAACCAGGAAAAGAGGTCGACCCATGAAAGTTGCAACTACCACAACGCCAGCTAGCCGAGCCAAAAAATACATGACTTGGAAAAACTTGACAGAGGAGGAGATAGTCGAAAGGAAGCGTCAACAGCGTCGCCGAGATTGTGTCTGCGAGCAGTGCGGCAGGCACTTCACCGATCAGAGCAACTTCAAATTGCACATGCTGAGGCATACGGGCATTAAGAATTTTGCCTGCCCGGACTGTGGCAAAAAGTTCTACACAGATCATTTGCTGTCGCTTCACCAAAGGATTGTGCACAGAGGCGAAAAGCCCTATGCCTGTAAATACTGCAACAAGTCATTTCACAATAGCACAACCCGCGTCATCCACGAGCGGTAAGACTGACCTGCTATAATTGTAACCATAATCTTTCTGTCCTGCTATAATTGTAGCCATATTCTTTTTGTACCACAGAATTCACACAAATGCTCGACCGTATCCCTGTAACCATTGCAGTAAAAGTTTCAGCTCGGCATCTGGTCGCAAGCGACATGAATTAATACACACTGGCGTGAGAGCATTTTAGTAAGTACAATTATTTGTATTATTTCGGCACAATTGGTAAATTATTATTATTCTTTGCAGCTGCGAAACCTGCGATCAAACTTTCCAGCGCAACACACACCTAAAGGCTCATCTTCAATCAAAGATGCATGTTATGAAGGAAAAACGTAAGGATTTTCCTAGTACGGAGAAAGTTTAAGCAATTATAAGATTAAAGTCATTCAATATTTCGTATGTATATATGTAGACAACTAGCCTCAGCAATTATCCAAGATTCATGCCAAATGATTCAACGTGTGAACATGAGCTCATGACTTTGCCAATTATCTAAATCGATTTGATATTCTGTGAATCATTGAGATTGTATGCGTGAAATGAGATTTTGGGCATCACACGTGCAGACTCATCGTTTAAAACCAGCTTAACTTACGCATAGTGTTGGGTAAACATCGTTCATTTGACTGATCGAGTTCGTTCGTTCATTTTTATTCAATGAACTAAGTCGTTCTTTTTTGATTCCGATTATACACATTTCGAGAATCTATCAAGATCGATATATACATATGCATATACATAGAATGCATATGAAAAGGTTAAACACATGTCAGTCTAAGATGAAGTCATTATTAATATTTGAGAGCTTTTAAAATTCAATTTTTATATTAATGCCCATACCATACTATACCTACTGGTTGACAAGCAACAAATTGTCAAATACCTAATAATCCATACCCACTCACGTTACGTTTTCTGATATTTTTGTTGGTTGGCCTTTTAGTATAAATCCAACACAAGGAAGTAGTGAAAACTAGCCCATCTTGTGGAGAATTTATTGATACATCGGATAAAATTAAAGTTTTAGCGCTGAGAATCCTAACTAGCTGGTAATATCAAACATAACATCAAAATCGAGTAATATCATTTAAGATACGGCATATTTTTAAAATAAGAAGGTATATTTTGGAATACTCTTCAGGGTTTTTGTGGTATATTTTGTCGATAATTCCGCGGTCACACTGCTCGGCTAGGCGTGCAAAAATAAATAAAATAGCAAAATAAAATAAATAAACTACAATTAGTTTATTATTATCTTCAGAGTATAAGGGAAATGAATGGATATATAAGGCCAGTCCGGTGACAAGGCCATAGCAATGACAGAAAAGTCGGAGCACGCCTCGAATGTGGAGAACTCTAAATTGGAACAGTCGGTGGCTTCTTCTTCCCCCAGTGGACCTCCTCCACAGATAATGGTAAAATCTGAGAAGCTTGATGCTGAGGTTGAGGCCAAGCTGCGAGCCTTGAATGCGAAGAATAAGTCGGACCAGGAGCGAGGAAATAACAATGACCAGCATCAGGATGACGACACGGAGGACGATGACGATGACTGTGATGGCGAGGGCGATGGCGATTTCGACGGCTCCTCTGTGGACGATAAAAAGACCATTGCGCCGGTAAAGTCATCCAACGAAATACTCGCCGAACTCTTTGGCGTTTTCAATGCAGCGCCACCAGCGGAGTTGCTTGACGACAAGAATCTGCTGAAGCTCAAGCACAAAAAGGTCAAAAAGGAGAAGAAGAAGAAGAAGAAGGCGTCCAAGTCGGATGGCGAGTGGTCCGACTCGGAGGCGGAGGGTAAGCACAAGCACAGGCGGAAAAAGCACAAGCACAAACACAAAGACACCAAGGAAAAGGATCGTGACAAGGCCAAGGATAAGGAGAGGCCAGCTGTTGCTCCTGTTGCCTCCGTGGTTTCTGCCTGTGTTAAGGAGACAGAGAAACCTGAGACTAAGAAACGGCCCACGGAGAGAAGCAGCCATGCTGCGGATGTCCTGCCACCAAAGCGTGAGAAGCGGGATCGGGAGCGAGAACGTGACCGCAGCCACAATAGCTTCTACAATGGCTACAGGGACAACGAACGGATCAGCGAACGGCCCAAGGCTCGGGACATGTCCGATGTCTCGCTCTCCGATGAGGAATCTTATCTCCGCGAGAAGGCCTCCTCCAATGGACGTCGGCGTCCTCAGAACAGCTTCTACGACGTGAAAGAAGAGCCCAAAGAGGAGCCCAACCAGCAGCACCACAGCAAGCGCAACGCTCGAGACACGGGCTCGAGGCGGCCACGAAGGTCAAGGTCTCGCTCGAGGTCACGCTCCCGACCCCGAGATCTAGGCATTGACAAAAAGCGGCTGCTGGAGGTGGCGCGCAAGAATGCCATCCATATGTTCAAGCGGGGAAATCTGCCTGGAGTGGCCGATATGACGCCCGAGGTGAAGGACAGGGTACTGATCAAGATGCGCTATGGCGGACGCACCGTCCAGGATTTGACGGACTTCTGCAAGAAGATCTCCAGCGGAGATGCGCTTTCCGACCTCAGCTCTGACGAGGAGTCCGACACGGATAAGAATGGGAATGCCAAGGCCTTCCACCACCCCTTCCAGCTAAAGGAGCGGGAACCGATTGTGATGCACATCCGCAACTCCACGCCGATACAGCCGAGGAGGGAGGATCAAACCAAGGCCATAACCATGCAGTTCCCCGTGTCCTCTGGCCAGGCACATCGCATCACCGAGGCCTGGGTGCCTGTGGAGCGCAAGGATGCGTTGGCGCCACTCCCATCGCTACCGCCCGTCAAACAATCCACGAATATCTTCCAGGATATACAAAAGAATGTGTTTGCCAAATCCATACCGGCCCTGGAGAAGCAAGAGCCTGCCTTTAAATCGATGGGTGGACCAGCAGCATTGGAACCGTCTACATCTGTGTCTGCACCTGCACCTGTGCCCGCACCTGTTCCCGTTCCTGCGCCGGTTCCTCCGTCTCGTCCAGAGCCAGTTCCAGCTCCAGCTGTGGCTGTAGTCAAAGCATTCACTCCCGCTCCGATACCATTTGTGCCTGAGGTTCCCATACCATCTGCCACAACACCCGTGACCCCCAGCAGACCAGCAGCGATGCGGCAGTCGTCACAGAGTGCTTCCATCTTTCCGGAGACGATGCCGCTCAGCATGGATGTGTCGAGCATCATCACACAGCGGCTCAGCGCCATTCGTCGGCTACAGGTGAGTCTTCCCAGGAACCCTCTAGCAGCCGCAATAAATCTGACAGTCTAAATCATTCTGCAGACAAATCCCACCGACTGCGAGGCCATCAAAATGATGCACAACGCACAGCGGGATATGTCCTCGTGGGCGTCCTCAAAGCATCTGCCCGGGCAGTTCACGGGCAGCACGGGAGCGCATGTGATGAAGGCCCATGAGCTGAATAGTGGGCCGCAGCTGTGGGTACGCCGGGATCAGCTGACCTCCACGAAGCCTGTGACCGGTGGCATGGGCATGGCTCTGTTGCAGAAAATGGGCTGGAAGCCTGGCGAGGGACTGGGACGATGCAAAACGGGCTCCCTGCAGCCTCTCCTGCTGGATGTGAAACTTGACAAACGAGGTCTGGTGTCCCGCGAAGATATTAAACTGCAGCCGAACCGCCCGTCGGCGGGGCATCGTAAGAACAAGAACAGCGGCGGCGGTGGTGGTGGTGGTGTCGGGGTCGGCGGCGGCCCTCCTGGCCAGAGTGGCCCCCCACCAATGGTGGTAACGCTGGACAAGCATCCCGTGTGTGTGCTCAATGAGCTGACCTCGAAGAACCGGTGGACGCCGCCACAGTACACGCTGCAACAGGAATCGGGTCCGTCTCACATACGCAGTTTTCTCTTCTCGGTGGAGATCAATGGGAATTCGTACACACCCGATCGGCCGTGCAACAACAAGAAGGAGGCAAAGCTAAATGCGGCCAAATTGTGTTTGGAAAAATTGGGAATCTTGCAGCCCAGTTAGGATAAAGATAATATCAGGATCTATTCTGTAAACTTTACATGTAAATACGTATAAAATTAGTTGTAACTCTGAGCTAAAACTGTTTTCGCGGAGCTTTCAATGCTTGCAGGAAAGCTTTTGAGTGACCAAAAGAGAGCGATTTCGTTGGCTCTCTTAACAGTACAGTGGCGTGGGAAACATCGAAAATGGAAGAGCTTTGGCCACTACGTGATTCGACACAGCTTACACTGCTTTTGGCCCAGTGTGCAGCTGTCGGCTTGGTATTTGCGAAAGAAAGAGCTTTGCTTTGCTTTGCTTACTTCTAACGGGGCTTATGCGCAGGCCGAACAAACAGCTGACTGTTACTGCTGCACAGTGCGGGTGGTGGGTGTGGGCATATTTGCAGTCCATTAAATCTCTCGACACACGACACTCGCAAGCAAAAGCAGCTTAACCCAAACATTGAAGGTCAGTTCACGCGGGACTGCGCTCCAAACAACTTTGTCGGATCGGATGGCAGCAGTAGACACAGGCGCAGGACAGGATATGGTCAATGGGTTGCTGCTAATGTTGTTGTTGTTGTTGTCACCCTGCTGTCACCCAGATACAAACACAAAACTTTTCTGAGTGCCCTAGTCCCAGCAAAAAAAAGTCCAGGGAGCGAACTCCCAGCATCCTATGAGAAAATATTGTGCTGAAAAGTGTGTGCAAAATGTGCTACAGATGTTTTTTGCATCCTACTGCATGGCCGCGGGACTGACTGGATGGGAATTTGGCATTGGATTTGGCACAAACAAACAGCGACATTTGTTGGACGGGGTAGTGGGCACGTCAGCGAGGCAGTGAAGCGAAATTTGTAGAGTTGCATAATTACACGCACACACTGATTCCCATGCCCATGCCCCGTACCCAAAACTGCCACTGCCACTGCCTATGGCTGCCACTGGCGCTGGCCATGGAACTGTTGGGCGTTGTTGCGGTTTGATGTGGCCGCTCCTCGGTGCACTTTGCTTGCTGCTGCAGCCATGGAAACGTGTCGCACCTGTGCGATTTCCATGTTTGTTTGCGATTTCGAAAATGGCAGCAACAATTTTCTGGACCTCTTCCATCCCACATGCTGGCAAAGTGAAATGGCCCAAATACGATTGGAGTTTGTCCACTGGAATCTGAAGGTACGTAATGTAAATGTGTACTTACATATGTATGTACATATGTATGTATGTAACGACTTCGTGGAGTTGGCAAACTGCAAATTACTTATTTTCCAACCAAAGTGAAAGTCTGCATGCAATGGAAAACTGCATTGAGTTGAGCTTTGGGATCTGATTACATTTACCCAAGGGGGCTTTGAACTTTGAAAGTGCTTTCGGCAAAGACATGACACATATCCTTTGGGGTTTTTTCATAGGTTGCTTATAAGCCATAGAAGCACTTACTGTGTAGCTTAAAATTTTATATTTTATTTAAATATTAGTTCACAAATAATTATTTCTTTCTGCACAACCTGCTATAATTATCCCCAAATAAATTCTTGCAGATTTCACCGAATGATGGATTGCCACAGAAAATATGCAGCGACTGTTTTACCAAGTTCTGCTCCATCTACACATTTCGATTGGGCTGCCAGGAAGCGCAGCTGAAGTTGTCCAATATTTATGATAAAATCGATTCCAGCAGCTTGGAGGATGAGCACCAGGAAGAGGAAGAAACGGATGTTGTGCCAGAAACAACAACAACAAAAGCAACAACAACAACAACGATGGTTTCAAACGAAACTCAACCAAACACTGCCACCGCCACCCCAATAGAGTTTTTTGTGGAAGCCATAGGCCAAAATGATGAATCTCAGCCACCATACCAGGACGATCATGATGACGATGATGATGCCACTCAGGAACTGACCATTAGCTATGCCTGTAAGTACTGCTTCAAGCCCCAGGAAAACTACCAGCTGCAGCAAATGCTCCTGGAGCACATCAATGCCAGCCACGATCCAGAGCAGCCGTACAACTGTCCGGAGTGTGAGGAGTGCTTCCAGGATGCAGCCTCCCGGACAGTGCACATCAAGAGCTGTCACGTGGAGAAGCAATTCAAGTGCGAGGTGTGCGGCAAGAAGTACAGCGATCGCCACAATCTGCGCCACCACATCGAGAAGTATCACTCGGAGACGGACTTTGAGTGCAGCATGTGCGAGAAGCGCTTCTTTACGCGCAAAAGCCTCAACTATCACATGAAGTGGCACAATCCAGAGCGTCAGCTCAAGTGCCGGCAGACCGGCTGCGAGCGCTTGTTCATCAATCAGCGCCATCTGAAATGCCACGAGGCCACCCACACGGGCGCCAGTGCCAGAAAGAGCGAACACTGTGGCCTCTGTGGTAAAAGTAAGCATCTACCTTTGCTGAGTGTGTTTGGCATCACCAAATGAATATATCTTTGCATAGCTTTCATACACCTAAAGACGCTACGATGGCACATCTATAGACAGCATGGCGGGGAGAAGCCCTACAAATGTGCCAACTGCACGGAGGGTAAGTGGAGAGAGGAGCGATTGGATGCAGCTGAGATATAGGACATGAAACATTCAACATTAATCATAACAATTTGTCGCATCATCGAACATTCTCACATATAAACCAGCGCATTAAGATCATAGAACTACCAACTGTGGCCAGCAACCCAACTGCTTCCTATACATAGACAGTGTGTGCTTGTGTGTGTGTGTCTGTTAGTCAAGTCTGAAGCAACGGTAAACATACAGGCTAAATCAGCTGTTTTTGTATACCTTTTCTTTTTTTTTTAGCCAAAAGCATGCAATCAACAACGTTTTGTACTTTCATTAGAACTTTTTAAACCACCAACCAAAAAAACAAAATGCTAACCAAACCCAAGTCCAACCACAACCAAGTACGTAAACCCCTCGGAGAGCAGCATGCATTGTGACACCCAATCACCAACCATTAGTTACCATCCAAAACCCATTGCTATTCCCTATTTATAATATGTAATCCACCTACATAGTGTTCGCTTCGTATGCGGAGAAAAGGATACACATGCTGGAGCGGCACAGGGAGAATCTAACGCCAATTGAGCGCAGCGAGTGCATGTTGTGCCGGCAACCCTTTGGCACCGAACAGGATCTCATACATCACATGTCCGTGGATCATTTGCAGCGTGCGGCAAGTGCGCCAGTGATTGCCAACAACAAGCGGGTGCTGCAGCAGAAGCGGGAGCGACAGTATTCGGGACTCTTTCAGTGCGACAGCTGCACCCAGAGATTCAATATGAAGTCGGCCCTGGATCGACATGCTGCAGTGCACTCGGAGAAGGACAGGCCGCATGCCTGTCCGCACTGCTCGAAGCGTTTCAAACGGGCCCAGGACATGAAGTGGCACATAAAGACGCACGAGAAGGAGAAGCCCAATGTGTGTGATGTGTGTGGCAAGGCCTTTGCCTTGAAGTATGTCCTCACACAGCACAGGCTCAGCCATGAAGGTGTGTAAATAAGACAATTCTAATTGCTGTCTGCCAATCAAGCTGTTTTCTTTTCTCTGACAGTTTTGGAGAAGAACTTTAAGTGCAACATTTGCGGTCGTTCGTATCTATTTGAAAAGTCTCTGCGACTCCATCAACGCGTCCACACGGGCAACACCTACTACAAGTGCGATCTGTGCCAGGAACGCTTCGTAACGCACATTAAGTTGAAAAGTATTTGAAATACCATCTCGGATGGGGGATTCGCTACTTAAAGTATCCTTTCGTTTCAGCTCATATGCAGAAGTCGCATGCGCATGCCTCTGAGACGCCCTCACCGGACTCCTTTGATGATTTGATAAATATTGTGATTTCATAACCAAGTGGAACAGAGCAAGAAAGCAAAGAAGAGAAGTTGTAGCCAAGCACAAACAGAGAGACAGAGAGAGCGTAGCTCTCACTAACTACTACTACTAAACTGACTAACTACCGCAAAAACAAGCTAGTAAAACCATACCCTCCATTCAACCTTATCATTAGACCACATGCGGGCACAGGGCACCGCTGAGTCGCAAAACGGAACAGGGCTGAAAGCTTTATACTCACTAGGCAAATGATGATACACTCTTCTACTATATCTTTCTTCCTTCATAAATCCCTGTAACCAATTGCACTTTTGCTGTCTCTCATAGGTAGACATATAACTTATCTCTCACTAGTTGAAGCACATGACCATTGACGACCATTTAGCGATAAGCAATACTTAAAGAGAACCTTATGCTTCACGACAAGCAAACCACTTAATGCTCAATGCATTTGCATTTATTTCAAGAAAAATAAAACAAAAATGAACAAATATTTACAATATCTACCGAAAAAGTATGTCATATTTAAAATATCAATGTACTATGAATTTTACTATGTGTAGTTCCAGATAAATGTATTTACCAATTTCGTGCTCTATAAAAACATCAATTTGAAAAGATTTAGTAATTTTTTATTTGAATTTAGCGCCAATCATTGTCAGCAGGGGCAGGTGTCGCTGTAGTTACCGTGCAGTTATTAAGTAGGTAAGGTTATTAAGAAAACCTTTCCCGCCGTAACGGACTTATCCAATAATGCGGTGATTTCTTTATGCATTGTTGTGTTCCAAGCTTCATTTCCACCCTTACATAATACACTTCCTTTCTTGTTTCAGACACAATTTGAACTTTTAGCGGATTTAATTTTGTAAACAAACACAAAACAGTGTACCTAGAGAGCCGGCACTTTGCATACTTTGGTCATACTGGGTACAGTGCCAAATATATGGCACTTTCTGTCCAAGGACTATTTTGAGTATTTGAGAACTGTGCTTTGACCTTAGTTTGCAAACAAAATAATAAAAAGAAGTCAAAAAAACTAGCCACTCTTTTGGAAAATTGATCATTAAATTAGATAAAACTGTAGCTTTAGCGCTGAGAGACCTAACTAGCTAGTAATATTAAATAGAACATCAAAATCAAGGAATATGATTAACGATTACGGTATATTTACCGTATATTTTGAAAATAAGGTTTATTTCGGTATATTTTTTTTGTCGATACGTCAGCGGTCACACCGACAAACACGTCAGTGTTTAGGTTTTCAATATTTATAGGCGAAAAGTTCATCAAAATCAAAAATAATGCGGCGACGATGACCAATGGAGACCGAAAGCTATTTGTATAACGATTAAATAACAGAACATACCCTGCAGTCTTCGTTTCCAGGGAGAAAAGATCACGAAAAAGCTTCGTCGGATTCCAAAAGTTGACCAAAAACGGACACAAAATCTATAAACGCCGCACAACAACAACAACAACAACAACAACAACACGATCATTGCCAGAGAGGGAAGGGCAGGTGCAACGGTATAGATTAGCCCAGACATCTGCCACGCTAGGCACATCTGACGTGCGTGTCGATTCGACCATCAACTTGAAATCACGCCCACATAAGCCGCGCACACCCACCTGAGAGATAGAGAGAGAGTGAGTACACGTAGCCATGGCTTTGCCCTTAAGCGACCTGCTTATGCTGGGCAGCGGTGAGAAGAGGCTGGCCGCCTGTGTGGTGCTGCTGCTGCTGGAGCTCTTCCTGGATGGTGAGTATCAGATCTATTTATGTTTTGTCAACAACTGGTTAGATCCACGTCATTGTTTTATGCAGGCGCCGAGGCAGTGCCCAACCAGGCTGACATCGACAACCATCTGGAGTTGGGCAAAGAGTTCTTGGCCCGCGGACAGCTATCGGATGCCCTGACGCACTACCATGCGGCTGTCGGTGGGTTATCGCAAACGAACTTCTTTGTCTTTGAAGTGTAATTAATTTTGGGGAATCTTTGCAGAGGGCGATGCCAACAATTATCTGACGCTCTTCAAGCGGGGCACCGTCTATCTGGCCCTGGGCAAGACACGCTTTGCCATCCAGGACTTTAGTCGCGTGCTCGAGCTGAAGCCCGACTTCACGGCGGCGCGCGCTCAACGCGGTCTGGTGCACATGAAGAGCGGCGAATACGATGAGGCGCTGACGGACTTTAGTCAGGTTCTCCGGGAGGAGCCCAACAATGGTGTGGTCTTTGAACAGTACTCGCGGCTGGAGCCGGCCAAAGAGCAGTGGTATATGGTGGAACAACAGATTCTCCATGGCGACTATCACAATGCCATCAACTTGATTACACAGCTGCTGGAGCTGTCGCCGTGGTCGGTGCCGTTCCGGCAGACACGCTCCGATCTCTACATCAAGGTCAACGATGCCATTGCAGCCATTTCGGACCTCAGGCAGGTGAACCGCCTGACGCAGGACAGCACGGAGGGGCACTATAACATTGCCAAGCTGCTGTACACGATCGGACACGCGCCCAATGCCCTGAAGGAGATACGCGAGTGCCTGAAATTCGATCCAGAGCACAAGCTCTGCTTCCCCTTCTACAAGAAGCTGAGAAAGGTGGAGAAGCAGCTGTCGACAGCCGAGCAGGCGAAGGAGGAGAAACAGTACTCCGACTGCACAGCCGCTGGCGAGGCGGTGCTGAAGCACGAGCCCGAGGAGACGATGATACGCTACGAGGCGCACAAGCTCCTCTGCAATTGCTACACTGGCGACGAGGAGTTCGGCAAGGCGCTGACACAGTGCAAGGAAGCGCTGGAAATCATGAAGGAGGCCCAAGTGTACTGTGATCGTGCCGATGCTCTGATCGGCACCGAAATGTATGACGATGCCATACACTCCTTCCAGGCAGCCCTTGAACTAGACGAGAACAGCCTGCGGGCCAAGGAGGGCATACAGAAGGCCAAGAAGCTGCAGAAGCAGGCCGAGCGCAGGGACTACTACAAAATACTGGGCGTTAAGCGCACAGCCACCAAGCAGGAGATTGTCAAGGCGTACCGCAAGGCGGCCCAGAAATGGCATCCGGACAACTTCAGGGACGAGGAGAAGAAGGTGGCCGAAAAGAAGTTCATCGATATTGCAGCGGCCAAGGAGGTACTTACAGATCCCGAGAAGCGTCGCCAGTTCGACGAAGGCGAGGATCCCCTGGACCCTGAGGCGAACCAGCGCGGTGGTGGCCAGCATCCGTTTGCCCACTTCCAGCACGGGTCGCCCTTCCAGTTCAAGTTCCACTTCAATTAGTCAGCAGTCAGCCAGCGCCACTTAGCAGCCAGCCATTTGTGTCATTTGTTAAGAGTGATTCCACACGCACCCCATGCCGCTGTCCCAGATCCTTGCGATTTTACACAAACACAAACTTGTTTTCCACTCTTGAATATCGTGTAAATAGTAGAATAAAGATCCCCGTTGCCCCTGCTCCGATAAACTGAAACTTGAAACTGAAAGAAACACACAACAAAATGAACACTTACATTTAATTAGTTTATTTAATACAAATAATTATAATGTAGTACATTTTTCTAATTATGTATAAAGCGAAAATCATAAGCAAAGCAAGAAATAAAAGACTTGGCGATTGAACTCTATCCTGTCCGTATCCTGTGTCGTAAATCGAAATCCGCACAAATTTTTAATTCCTCTCTCGATCGATCCGAATGCCAGTTCCCGTTTTAACATTTTAATGCAAGTCTTTTTTTTTGTTTTTTTCTGTTTATTAATAATATTAAGAGTCCGAAATGCAGAGGATCCACCTCAAACAGCGGGCGACAGGGCTACATATATCATGGTGGCCACCATCACCGTCACACACAGGAGGAAGTAAAACTTGAGATGATACTGACGATCCAGCGAGCGGAATAGCTCACGGAACTGTGCCATGGGCGAGACTTGTACTTGCTTCTGCCTGGATGGCAGTGGCGGACGTGCCAGTGGCGATGAGCGCAAATGCGAGAGGTGGCTGCTGCGCAGCTGTGGCTGCTCTTCTGCCTCCGATTCGCTGTCGGTTTCCATGGGTTGGGCGTTGTTGTCCGGTTCATCGTAGAACTGGTTCAGTGTCGGATAGAGCGTGTTCATGGGTGTCCTCGGTTGGAGTGGCTGTCTAAAGCCAACAGTTGGCCCGCTCTGCCGCTGGCGGGGCTGACTAGCAGCCGCTACGCCAAAAGGCTTGGCCGAGCCGCTGAATGTGTTCCGTGGGGAACGAATGGACTGCGACTGGCTGTAGCCTAAATCCTCCTGATAGCTGGTCGAGTTCAGCTGCGTCTGTACGTTCTGCGTCCTGGATAGAGCCGCCAGATCCAGGTTCATGGGGCGTCTATAGGGTGGATCGATGCGCGGCACGTAGCTGGGCAGTGTGTTCAAGGGCGCACGCTCATAGTTGTGGCTTTTGGGTATGTCCTCCTCCTGCCGATCATAGTGCGGCTGCTCTACCTCACGCGTGTACGATGTGGTCAGCACTCCAGACTTGGTCAACGACAAAGACCGGCGTAGATCGTCGCGCTTGGGAGACGTTTGCTGGAAATTCGAGGATCGTGCGGCGACTGGCGAATCCACAACATAATAGTCATCGTCCTCCGACTGGGAGCCCACATCCGAGACGGTGGTTGTTGTCTGTACAGAGCGCCCCGAGTCGGATGTATTGTCCAAGCCATGGGCAACCGTGCGACGACTGCGCTCATTCTGCTTGCTGTTGTTGTTGTTGGTGCTGATGCTGCTGCTGGCAATGCGGCTTGGACTTTTACCTGCTGTGCGTCTCACATTCTCCGCTGCAGGCGTCACCTTGCTGCCGTGTATGGTTTCACGCCTAGGAGCCGCTGGCTGCTGCTTTGTTGCCGAGACAGCAGTTTTGCGCTTGTTCAAGGGCGAGCCCAAAATGGTGGCGCGCAAACGACGAATGATGACAGCGCGAGTGCTGTCGGTCACCGGAACACTGGGCAGACCATGTTCCACGCACTTGGCCAGCAGCTCCTTGTTGGAGATTGTCTCCAGATACGAGAGGTCCGACATATTTCCAGTAGTTGTGAAAAACAAAACAAAAATAGCAATGTCGTCACAATTATCAATGACAACTGAGTTATCGATAGCCCGCCTCAACATACATCGAAAAGCACTTTTCCAAAGTGAAGTGCACGGTCACTCTGACAAGTGCTTACGCCTATCGCACAAAAATATCGATATCGAACCGCAAAAATTAGGTTCTTGCTCTCTTTGCTGAACTAATCCTCTCTTTGGCATGTGACCGCAAGGTATGGTAAGCAGGTAAAAAAGGACGAACTTTTCGAAGCTCCCAACTTTTTTCGCACCTGTTGAGAGGATCCCTAATAGTGCATGCGAGAGCTTCTGGCAGGAGAGGATTTCCCTGAATCTTAGTTTGTGGTACAAATTTCTCACCATGAAAGCTCCTTTGCATTGTTAAGGGAGGTTTGAAAGCTCTTTTTCTTTGCAGGGAATTTAAACTAACGAGAACCACTAAATATAAAATAAAATATATTAATATTGGACTATATACAATATATGGTTTATGGTATTTATTTATTTACGTATTTTCAATTAAGAATTAACTGCTAGTTATGGAATATGGAATAGGAATATATATCAAGCAAGCAAAACTGTAACACGAGTTCAATATTCTCACTTCAACGGTCAGTATCATTTATTCTATTTACCGCAGAATCAAGATCTTAATTTTGTTTTGTTCGTGACATATTTAACTATGTGGTTTGAAAATTTTAGGGCATTTGATAGTCCAGAAGAAATATGATAATGTAAAATGTGAAAGAAGCCAAGTGCTACAGTATTGCACCGCGGTTATATTTTAAACAAATAATTTTATTTAAAATTTTTAAATAATGTTTCCACTGGGCTTTTTTTTTTTTTAGTTCCCAATGCGATTTGGAATATTGAGGGAGTAGCGATGCAGGGGTGGCCTCTCCCACAACTAAATAATTATATTTGCAGGGTCTGACACATATTGAAGGACTTACTTAAACATACAATCACGAAGAAATCGTATATTTCCATTTATGAGATATTTAAAACAGCAATAAAATTGGTACTTTTTCACTGTACATGCTGTGCAAAAACTACCGCTAGGTTTCACAGCAAATTTTGCGAAGGTGGCGACATCTATGCAAATTTCTAATACAGAGCGCCAAAACCGCGCCCAGGTTTTAACATTTAAAAATTAGCTTTTGCCCAAAGAAGCGGTCATTGGGACCATAGTGGCATGGTTCCTAAATACGCTAAAAGCTTAGCGGCAGCGCATTTGATAGGCACACACGTAGTCGCAAGTAACATTTGTGATACTTGCGATACAATCGATAACGCATCGCATATAACATTTAATATAACACAACAAGACTAAACTACCCATCGCTAGGGAATTATAATAATAATAATACAAATTTTTCAAACGAAGAGGTTGTGTGTCGCGGCGCGTTGTCTCGATTTTCCCCTTAATCGACGCGCAACAGGTGTTTAATTACAAAGAACACGCTCAATTTGAATTGAAATAAACGCCGCGTTCAAAGTGCTGTTACAAGCCAAAGAAAACTAAGCAGAAGAGTATAAATAAAGCAGCGAATGCAAACGCCACAAAAAGGCAGGCGCATCCGAAAAGCCAACACCTGTTTGCCTGCATTCCTGTGTGCCTGTGCGAGTCTCCGCTACTGCGCTTGCGTGTGGTGTGTGTTTTGTTCGGGAATGGTTTTTGTTTTGTTAAATTGTGCGCTCAATAATTTCGTTTCAACTAAAACCTTTAACAATTTTGCTGGATTTGATGCAACATTGCAACATTTTCAAAGTTTCCCCTAAAAACTCAACGCGACTCGACTCGCCTCGCGTCTGCGTAGAAGAAACAACAAAAGCGATGGCAACAGCAGCAGCATAAACATAAGCCCCCGAAAACCGGTTAATACGAATACAGCCATCAAGAAGCAGTCCAAGAAAACGTCGCCCCCTTAAAAGAGCAAGGCGGCAGTACGATAACAATAAAACCAGAAGAAAGAGGAAATCCATCGATTTTGGCCCCCCCAAGGAATTCCAAATGGTATTGTGTTATTCTTTGTTTCGCGTGTGACACATTGGATACAGCAAGCAGCCCTATCGCCACGATCGAATCGAAAGTGACCGGAGGAATAACCGTCGAAACTCTTTCGCGTGGCCCTTTCTTATCAGGTGGGTTATAATTTAACACACATTACCCCCCAAATTTTAATTGCAGCCTGTTGTGGCTTAAATTTATTTGGGGCACGTGAGGCAGTCCATAATGATAAGGCCTTTAGTAGTCGCCAATAAATTTAAGCAATTCCAGAAGTATTCAGAACGTTTTTGGAGGGGGTCATTTCCCTAGAGTTTGGTCACCGCAGGTCCAAAAATAATGATAAGGCCTCTTTACCAACAGATTAACTAATTTTGTAAGGTGTCTGAGCGGATGCCATATTGTTGCTCCATTTTGCTAGTGCCGGCCATTGTGGCTCACCATTTATAAATAGAACATCTTGACTTTGGCTCATGCTATGATAAGGCTGAAGAGCCAAAGATTGCCTTAATGTCTAAACTACTAGTGGTAGACCAGCCATATTTGGTAGTGGTTGGAGTGAAAGATTACCTTAATCCCTAAATTACTAGCAGTAGACCAACCCCATATTTGGTGGCGGCCCAGTTCATTGACACAACCTTAAAGCAAAACATTGTTTTGAACCTCAAACTCAACTTTCACTGAATGCGGCGGGGCAGGCAAGGCACTCCAAAAAGCGGCATAAATCGACAAAGGCAAAGGCAAAAATACAAAAAATGTTGTAAATGCCAAAATTGAAATGCAGCCTCCAGTTAATAAAATCAAAATTTGTTGTTCAGGTTGTTGGTGTCTTGTTTGCTTTTGCTTTTGTTTTATCTTGTGTTACTATTTTATATAATCAATGGTTAATTTTCCACGAGCATCATTAAACAACAAATTGAGGCACACGAGAGGATGATTATGAGATAATCAGTGAAATTGCACAAGGCCCAATGGAGTCATCAGAGTTGAGTGAGTTGAGTGGAGACTGATGACGAGAAAGAGACTAAATTAAATGAGATAATAAAGATAAAAAAATTATGATTTTTCATGCAGAAATCTGTCTGGAGAGAGACACTCAATAAATTAGATGATTTATCAATTACATTTGTGTAACGACTGTTACCTGCACATTTTCCAATACTATTTGTGCTCGATCCAACGAATGAATGACTCACGCTCCTCTCTCGAGTGCATTTATTCAGATTCAGAGACCTGAGCTCTATCTCGCATCTAGTTATTGTATCTCCCTCACCTCGCTCCTCACGGAACACAAGACAAAATTCCAATTTCATGAAAAACAAAATGCCAAATATTCCCACCAAAAGTATGCACAAATCCAGCAACAACAACAAGTTTATAAAAACACAACAACAAGCACACTATGCACATGGAGAAAAAAAACAACGTTATATAAAAACACGTTCAAAACCCAAACCGCCTTTTGAGACAGAGACAGAGAGAAAGAGAGAGAGGGAGAGGGAGAGGGAGAGGGAGAGGGAGAGGGAGAGAGCCGCGGTGGTGTAAACGAGATGGCCAGATCAAGTGGGTTAGATCGATGGGAGGGAGCAGCAGGGGGTGTGCTTATGTTTGCTGGCGACTGTAAATGTGTAGCTGTGTGTGTATGTGTGTATGTGTGTGTGTGTTCGCTCACTTTGAGCCACGCTTCAATTGCAAATGCGCCCCAAGTAAGCCAAGTTAACAGAAAAACAAAAACAAGATCTGAATGGGTTTGGTTTTTATGAAGCGAATCTATGAATACTCTTGACCGAACGATAGGCTAAGTTGGGAACATAAAGGAATAAAATATATTGTAGATTTATCAGCATAAAAAGAAGCAGGGAAGCATTCGGTTGAGTAATAATAACTGCAACCATTAAGTAAGAATTTAATCTAGAGTTGGATTTGGGAAAACCTAGACTGCCACCAGTTGAATCTGCTTTCCATATTTTGTATATTCTCAATAGATTGGTAATACACCCCGTGTGAAAAGGGTATAGCACTCGTAAAAAGCATTGACGCAGATACGCGCTGTTTTACCAGTTGCTGTGATGTTGTTGTAATTGTAAATTCTACAGGTTTCTCGATGGATATATATGTATACATATGTATGTATATGTGAATGTATGGCACGTATGTTTGTTGGTCTGGTTTGCCTGTTTGTACGAGTATCTATGCATGTGCTGTAGCTGTTGTTGCCTTAATGGTGCACATACTCGTACTCGTACAAACAACAACAAGATAGCTCTGCAATTTTACGCCAAAGCTACAACAAAAAGTCGACCGATCGAGCCGCAATCGAAACGATCAACAGAGCAAAGTGAAGGCAAGAGCATGGGGTGCGGGGATTGAAGATTGGGGATTACGATGGGGAGGAAACAGAGCTTCAGAGAGTGCCGTAGGAAGAGGAGTAGGAGACGGAGGTAGTAGGTGTAGTGGGGTGACAAGGAGAGGCCAAACCATTCGTAGGCCAGTTATCAAGTACAATGGGATTTAAATCTCAATTATTACTGAATTGTGGAAACAAATGAAAGCAATCCTACATTAGAGGGATAATGTAGCTCCATTTATACTTTAGAATATCCTGAATTTAACAATGATTTCCATTTAAATCAATTAAAAATCATATCTTTCCACTCTAAAATAACACTTCCACTGTGCAGCAACAGTACGAGGCAGCCACAAAACGTTGCAATATGCCGCCGAATAGCCCGAGTCTGTCTCCCATTTGCTTAGCCAACTTGGCGTTCATTTCAGCTTCGCTTTTTCGTACTCACATTCGTACTCGTAATTGTTTCATGAAAAACTGGCCAACACTCCAATGCACTCCACTCCACTCCACTCCACTCCATTCCAGTGGCTACTGCCTTCTCTCTTCAACTCCAAACAGGTGCGCAATATTTTTGTTTTTCTGGTTTTTTTTTTGGCGACTTCGACGGGGATTTTGGGGCCAACAGTTTTTCAATTTTAATTATGGTTTATGTGTCGCCTTACGAACACGAAAACGGCATTCGATCGGTGATCGGCATATACTTATCCACTAAGCGGTACATATTCACATACATATTCACTTATGTACAATCCAAATTAATATATGGCCCAATGCCTTCAATGGACTTCAGGCGGTACAAGGTTGTTGCTGCTCGGAGCAGGAGAGTGACATGAACCGGAGGAGACAGAGACACGCCACACCGGGGAGATATTGAGGTTACCTGGTAGTTGTGAATGAATGCCTGGCTATGAGTGCCTTCTGGGCGGATCGGCTCGGTTCGGTTCGGATCGATCGTTGCAGTTGGTGGACCCAGAGAGAGAGTGCTGCTTGGAATGGCTAAGAGTTATTGGAGTGGAAACCAAACTCCTCCAGCAAAAACAGGGTGAACGCATTCAGGAATTTGTAATTATTTTAAGCCATCTATTATCAGAAGGAAAAGTAACAATTACTCATCTGTTTTGCTGAAAGACTTTCAATGAGAACTGATTAAATTTTACAGGTGAATCATAGAGAAGTAAACGACTAATGGGATTACAGATATTATACACAAACGATTGTTGGTTTGTCTGTAGAGGGTATCCCAAGACGATATCAACTTTCCATCTGCCTATCGTGTCGTCGCCTTCATTGTACCTTACAGCCGGCAGTCGACAGCTCAGATCGCTCTCAGCTTGTAAAACACAAACAAAACAAACATATCTCAACACTATCTGGTGACCCCAATTGAGTCATCAGATACAGATACGTATTGGAGGCGGCGACAAGTGCGGCAGAGACTCCCCATCGAAGGAGCGGAGCACTGCTGAGCTGATGCCAGCTGATTCATACGGAGATCTGGGGCTAATGTCAAGGCATCACTCTTACGGAGACTTAATAAATATTAGTTTGAGACAATCTAGCAGATACTACGAGCGTGATTGTGTTTGCACACACGTGTGTAACAGTTGCAGTGCACTTTGTATCTTGTAGATACGTTCCGTGCTTTGCATAAATGCCACAAGAAGAAGGTTTTAACTGTAACTAAAGCTGGCACTGGATGACATTTCGTGGCAGTGTATCTGCCAGATACGTTAATGCAATGCACGCACCAATCACACACAAACAGATACAGATACAGAAACAACACACACTCTTCTGGCCTTATTAATATTTATCAATTTGTTATTTAACTCGTTTCGGAATATTTTTCGCTGAGGCAACTCTTTTTTGTCTCCTCCCGAAATTAGCATAAAGCCGTATAAAAGATAAACACATACACACAGACATATGCCAACCTGCAAGATTAACATTTAACTCGTTTGAAATTGTTGGGTTTTTGTTTTGTTTCGTTTTGGAGGCATTTTTCGCCTGGCTTTTGTTTTTGCTGTTAAATTGCCAATTTGACCTTATTAAGCGTATGATTTGGTAAAATGCCTCTGCGTGCGTCGCCTAATTAATTGATTTGTTGACTATCTGAAACTGAAATTGAACTTGAAGACCCACATATTTAATCATAATTCCCCAGAAGCGTGTCATATCATTTATAACTGCATTTCGTAGTAGAATGCAAGCCGCAGGGCTAGTTGTAGGAACTTTTTTCACTAATTCGACTTTCTATCACTCGCAGCAGCCCCGCAGCTGGCAGCTGTTCTAAAATTATGCCGATAAATGTCGAGTTGGTTCTCTTCAAAGTATTTGCATTGTAAAGCGTACGCTACGATACGTCTTACATCTCTTTATAGAAAACCCAAAAAATGGCACGCTTTTGCAGGAGGCTTGACTATAGAACTGCTCTTCAAATATTTACCAAAGGTTAGCTGTTATTATGGATAGAACTTGATGATCTGGAGGTGTATTTATTATCACAGCGGATGTATATGTAGAGTGGGATTATGTGAAAGATAAGCCCCAAGAATGCGATAGCCAGAGGAGAAAGTCTCAAGGTCCCAAAACAATTCAAATATTTGAAAACCAAGCATAGAGTGCTTGATGAGGAATCGCCCTATCGCAAAAAGATATTGCGGAAACAATGTAGGAACCCAAGGAAATTGCTTTTCTCTGAAGATCTAAGAAGGAACAAAAAGATAAATATCTAAAGTAAAGTGCGGATAGCTAGCAACAGAGTTATAGGAAACGAGGATATGAGTA